AACACATTCAGGTAACTTTCACAACAATGGCTAGGAGAATTCTGAATGTAATATATATATATATATATATATATATGTGTGTGTGTGTGTGTGTATATATTTTAAATTCTAACTACATATAATTTAAAAGATTTGAATGAAATAAATAAAGATCAAATAAGACTAAAGATTATAGCCTGGAGATTATATCAAAGGTGACATCAAAAAGGAACAATATGAGTCATTATATCCAAGGAATAGACAGAATGCCTTCAAAATAGGCAAAAATGACCAAAAAAGAAGTTTAAGTTTTTAATTTTAAAATTCACAACTATGAAATAAAATTACTACATTATACATGTATGTACAATAAATCCTAAAAAGGTTGCACATGAAATAATTTCTATTACTTATTTCTTGGTGTTCATTTTGAGATATTAAAAAAGTTAGTATGGCACTTTCAAATCTGTCCTGAATCATTCTGACCATCCTCCTGTTCTATTGTATGAGTATTAAGAACATCCTTTTGGTTTTTTGTAGGGTGGTGGAAGGGCAATGCTATTCCTAGTTTCCATGAAAATGCCAAATATTCCTACAAAAATGACAAAAAGACCCCAAAATATTTGAAACAAAAGCACATAGTAAAGCTGAACCCCAGATCTACTCTTTATTCACCATCTTGAATCTATCACACTTTGGTCAGGAGAGAGGTGGCACGGATCTTCTTTATAAGTCTTCTGGAAGAGTGGTTGGTGGTTATAATTATCAGCCTTGTGACATCTTTCAAAGTCCTTCATCTTTAGAAATGTTATTGTTAACAGTGATTCTCTTACTGTGATTCTGTTCCCTCTGCATCAGTTCATGTGACTCTTCTGAGTTTCCAATAATTGCCTGTCTTTGACTGTTCAGTTCCATTCGTATGCCAATATTTGTTCAGCTGTTGCCCTACAGCAGAACGTCATACCTCAATTTCCAGTTCTTTATCATAACAGGACCTGTTATAAATATTTTTTTATACTTGAGTCCTTTTCCTCTGTCTTTGACTTAAGAGAATAGACATACACACACACATCTACTGGGTCAAAGGGTATTACTGTATTTCACCTCATAATTGTCACTACCACACAATCATCGCCCTTATTTTTTCAGTCCAAAAAGTGGTGAGCCTAGAAATCTCAGCCCACTGGCATTGTCAGTGTATTTCTGAAAGCCAACTTGCAAGGTTTGTTTACAGCACTGCACTACTAATGGTATTGTCACTTAACACAATGAAGAGCCATGGGGCAAAGGGAATGGGCAGCAGGTGAAGCTGCCATGGACAAGTCACATGATATAGTAAGGCTTAAATCTTCCCTGGCTAGCTAAACTGCACAGTTCATCTGCCAGCAGTACAGTATAGTAATAAATGATTTTTAAGTAATATTGGCACAAATGGTTTTTAAAGCTTCACATAATGGTCGCACCCCACTTTTTTGCAAAAAAATTGTCATAAAATTTGTGATGATTATGCAGTGAAATATGGTAGTCACTTTTGAGGCTTCAGTTTCACCAACAGTGAATTAATTAAGGTACCTATAATTATTAGTGAAATTGAGCATACATGCTTCAGTTTGTTTTTATTTAATTTTAAAATTGATATTCATTTCCCTCCTCTGACTAGATCTCCTCCAGACTCTTGAAACTATTATGTAGTCAAGAAAAATAAATTCCCCCAAATAGTTTTTTCCATGAATGTGATGATATATCATGTGCTGTAAGAAATGAGGGTTGCTGAGAAAGGAATAGTGTACAAACTAATGTAAAGTGAGCAGAACCAGAATATTTTACAAGTAGAAACAATATTGTAATGAAAAATAAGTCTGGAAGACTTAAGAACCCTGATCAATGCAATGACCAACCATGTGTCCAGAGGACCAAAGATGAAATATGCTACCCAACTCCTGTTAGAGATGAGGGTCTCAAGAGTGCAGGATAAGCCATATAATTTTTTCTTTGACATGGACAATGCAGGAAAATTGTCCCTCAATATATGTTTGTAAATTCCCTCCAATGTTTGATTGTCATTTCCTTATCACTTTTGTTGGTGTCCTGTAATTTCAGTTGTGTCCGACTCTTGATGGCTCTATGGAATTTTCTTGGCAAAGATACTGGAGTGGTTTGCCATTTCCTTCTCCAGCTCATTTTACAGGTAAGGAAATTGAAGCAAACATAATTAAGTGCCTTGCCGAAGGTCACCTAGCTAGGAAGTGTCTGAGGCCAGATTTGAACTCAGATCTTCCTAACTCCAGGCCCAACATTTGATCCGTCACCTCACCCAGCTGCCCTTATCTTTGCCAGTCTTTCCAATTATTAGTGCTTTGGACTAGTGATTACGGATTTGAAGCATTTTTTCATTTGATCATTGATAACATGGATTTCTTCTTTTGAAACATGTCTATCCATAGCTTTTGACCAGCGGTCTGTTGGGGAATGGCTCATTTTTATACATTTGTATCTATTCTTTAAATACTTGGAAATTAGACCTTTTTTGGAGAAACGTGCTGCAAATCATTTCTCCAGTTAATTGTTTCATTCTTACATTTTAGATATATTCATTGCTTTTTTTGGGGGGGTAAGGCAATTAGGGTTAAGTGACTTGCCCAGGGTCACACAGTTAGTAAGTGTCATATGTCTGAGACTGGATTTGAACTCAGGTCCTCCTGACTTCAAGGCCAGAGCTCTATCCACTGCGCCCCCTAGCTGCCCCTAGATATATTCATTTCTTTGCGTGATAAAAAACCTACTGTTTTATTTCATATCATCTTTTGTATGACTTGCTCCATCCCTTGTTTGGGGACGCACTTCAATGACTTTGTTCAACGCAGGGCTGCGAGGCTTATTTTCTTTGATATCTCATACACATAATGTGTACAAGCTCTATTTTTAAGTAGGGCAAGAGAGTTTCAGTGACTCCCACTTTCTGATATAGTCTCAGACTTGGTCCTGAGGGACCTCCCTCCCGGAATACTGGAAGAGCCTTTGGAAAGAGACACATGAACATAATTTTAATCAAAACACAGATTTAGAGTTGTAGGAGCCACAGAAGCCACTTGGCCCAATCTCATTTTAGAGATGAGTAAACTGAGGCAGAAAAACATTCCCTATCCTTACATAGCTAGAGAGCAGCTAAGGCAGGATTTGAACCCAAGTCTTTCCAACTTTAAACCCTGTTCCCTATCCATTACAACACACTGCTTTCATCTATGCTGTTTTAAATATCAACTCGAACAAAAAGTGATTAAATTATCCATGCCTTTTAGACCACAGAGTTTGCTATGACACTTAAGATCTAAGGGGAAACACTAAGATAGCTGCCATTTACATGTTGATTTGATGCCTGCAAAGCACCTGACATACATTGTCTCATTAGATCTTCTCATCTCCTCTTGGAGGTAGGTGCTAGTACTTTTTTTTTTGAACCAGAGATTTCATTTATTGTTAATAAATGATACTAATTTATTATGACATTCCAAACTCAATGAACTTCTCAAAAAATCTCATTAAAACATGCTTTATTTAAAAACTGCTGGTCAACCTATAATGCCTTTCATTTTTTAAAAAAAATAGTATTTTATTTTTTCTTCCCAATTTTATGTAAAAACAATTTTTAACATTTTTTTAAAGTTCTGAGTTCCAAACTCTATCCCTCCTTCCCTCCCCTCAGCCCTCCCTGAGATAGTAAGCAATCTGATACAGGTTATGCATGTGCAATCATGTAAAACATTGAAAAAATTGTCATTTTGTGTAAGAAGACTCAAACAAAAAAAAGTGAAAATAGCATGCTTCATTCTGTATTCAGACAACATCAGTTCTTTCTTTGGAGATGTATAGCATTTTTCATTAGAGTCCTTTGGGATTGTCTTGGATTATTGTATTGCTGAGAAGAGCTAAGTCATCCACAGTTCTTCATTATACAATATTGCTGTTGCTCTGTGCAGTGTTCTGGTTCTGCTCACTTCACTTTCTTTAATTCATATAAGTCTTCTGAGGTTTGTTTGTTTTTTTTTAAATCATTCTATTTGTCATTTGGTAGGTTCTATTACTATCCCCATTATGCAGATGGGGAAACTCATGCAGGATTAGGTTAAGTGACTTGCCCAGGGTCACACAGGAAGTAAATATCAGAGACTGAATTTAAACTCAGGTCTTGTGCATTCAGGGAAAGCCCTCTATCTGTTGTGCCACCCAGCAATCTAAAAAAGAAGCATTACAAAAATAGATATCCAACAGATTCCAAAATATTTATACTAGGACTTTTTGCACCAGTTAATATCGTGAAACAAATTGAGTACCAATCAAATGGAGAATGGCTGAAGAAGTTATGGCATAGGAATGCCATGGCATATTAGAGAGGATACATGAAATCCTTAGGATTTCAGAGAAAAATTCAAACCATTTTCCAGGCTTTATGCACAGTATAAAAACTGCAGTATCTAATGAGATCTGTTGTGCAGGAAAAGATTTTCCCTCATCAATTAGATCTGTAAGTTTTATGTCCGGCAAGATTTTTTCAATGAACACACAAGTATTAGCTCTGGGTCAAGGCCTTCTCACAAATTTTTATAAGGCTTTTTCCATTGTGAATATTGTAATGTTTGGTAACCTCCATTTTCCAGGGAAAGGCAGGTCCCCATTCAACACCTTCTTAAGTCTTCTCTCCACCATGTATGCTCTGATGTAAAGCAAGAGATGATCTAAGCTGAAGATTTTTCCACATTAAGTCCATATAGATCTTATTCCCAAGATGAATTTCCTGATTTCTAGCAAGGTCTGTACTTCATTTGTGTGCCTTTCCATATTCATTACAGGGATGTGATTTCTATCTCTTATGAATTTTCTGACAAGAAATAAGGGATGACTTTAGTCTGAATGATTTTCCACAGATTATATTAATGAGATTTTTTTCCTCTAGAATAGATTCTCTAATGTCTGAACAGAGAAAAATGCACATTAAAAGCTTTCCCACATTCCAGATACTCAAAGTTTCTCTCCAGTATGGACTCTCTGATGTTTAGCAAGATTTGAGCTCTGTGTGAAGGCCTTTCCACATTCATTACATTCATAAGGTTTTTCTCCAGCATGGATTCTCTGGTGTTTAGCAAGATTGGAGCTCTGTGTGAAAGCCTTTCCACATTCATTACATTCAAAAGGTTTTTCTCCAGTGTGGATTCTCTGATGTTTAGCAAGATTGGAGCGCTGTGTGAAAGCCTTTCCACATTCATCACATTCATAAGGTTTCTCTCCAGCATGGATTCTCTGATGTTTAGCAAGATTGGAGTGCTGTGTGAAAGCCCTTCCACATTCATTACATTCATAAGGTTTTTCCCCAGTGTGGATCCTCTGATGTTCAGCGAATTTGGAGTAACATCGGACATTCTTTCCACATTGATTACATATGTAAGATTGTTCTCCAGTGTGGATTCTCTGATGTTTAGCAAGAGTAGATCTCTCTCCAAAATTCTTTCTATGTTTATTACATTCATTAAGTTTCTCTCTAGTGTGGATTCTCTGATGTTTAATAAGGGAACAGTATGCACTAAAAGCTTTACCACATGTATGACACTCATAAGGTTTCTCTCCAGCATGGATTCTCTGATGTTTGGCAAGATTTGAGCTCTGTGTGAAAGCCTTTCCACATTCATTACATTGATAAGGTTTCTCTCCAGCATGGATTCTCTGATGTTTAGCAAGATTGGAGTGCTGTGTGAAAGCCCTTCCACATTCGTTACATTCATAAGGTTTCTCTCCAGTGTGGATTCTCTGATGTTTAGCAAGATTGGAGTGCTGTGTGAAAGCCCTTCCACATTCATTACATTCATAAGGCTTCTCTCCAGTGTGGATTCTCTGATGTTCAGCAAATTTGGAGTAACACCGAAAATTCTTTCCACATTGATCACATATATAAGATTGTTCTCCAGTGTATATTCTCTGATGTTCATCAGGAGTAGATCTCTCTCTGAAAGTTTTTCTATATTTATTACATTCATAAGGTTTCTCTCCAGTGTGGATTCTCTGATGTTTAGCAAGATTTGAGCTCTGTGTGAAAGCCTTTCCACATTCATTACATTGATAAGGTTTCTCTCCAGCATGGATTCTCTGATGTTTAGCAAGATTAGAGTGCTGTGTGAAAGCCCTTCCACATTCGTTACATTCATAAGGTTTCTCTCCAGTGTGGATTCTCTGATGTTTAGCAAGATTGGAGTGCTGTGTGAAAGCCTTTCCACATTCATTACATTCATAAGGTTTCTCTCCAGCATGGATTTTCCGATGTTTCACAAGATTGGAGTGCTGTGTGAAAGCCCTTCCACATTCATTACATTCATAAGGTTTCTCCCCAGTGTGGATTCTCTGATGTTCAGCAAATTTGGAGTAACACCGAAAATTCTTTCCACATTGATTACATATGTAAGATTGTTCTCCAGTATGGATCCTCTTGTCTTTTGCAAGGGTAGATCTCTCTCCTAAAGTCTTTCTAGGTTTATTACATTCATAAGGTTTCTCTCCAGTGTGGATTCTGTGATGTACAATAAGGGAAGAGTGTTCACTAAAAGCTTTTCCACATTCATGACACTCATGTGGTTTCTCTTCAGTATGTATTCTCTTATCTTTAGCATCTTTAGCAACACTGGAATTCTTTCTCAAAGCTTTTTTATGTGGACTGGATTCACAATGCTTCTCTCCAGTCTGTATTTTCTCATGTTTATCAAGACCAGACCTATTTTCAGTATAGTCTTTCCATGAAGTCATTTTCAGTTTTGCACTTGTCTCCTTCACATCAAACCTGGTCTCTGCATCTGATAGAAACAAACAAACACATACACATGTATAAATATATCCTTTTCTGTTGACATACAATAAAATGATTGACTTTCAATTTATGCAGTCAAAAATAAGAGTTTTCAAACTGAAATGGACAGAATCAATCATTTTAAAATGCTATTAGTTCACATCAATAAGATGATTTAATTAACACAGAGTTCCACACACAATCCAGTCACATTGGACCCTCACAACAAACTTGAGACACTGGAAAAGTGAGGATTCTCTTTATACTTTACAAATCAGGCCAGGAGCTCTGAATGGCTGAGTGATTTGACCCAAATCCCTGCAGCAGAGATTAGAACTCAAACCTAGTGATTGAGTGTACTCTGTCCATGGCACTAGACAGAAGTTCTCCATTTTACTTTCAATCCTTTCCTTAAATGCATTTTCTGCCTTTTTTTCCCCCTTTGGTGAGGCAGGGTTAAGTGACTTGCCCAGGGTCACACAGCTAGTAAGTTTCAAGTGTCTGAGGCCGGATTTCAACTCAGGTCCTCCTGACTCCAAGGCCAGAGCTTTATCCACTGTGCCACCTAGCCGCCCCTTTAAATGCGTTTTTATGACAATTTTATTCTGTTCTGTTCAGGTAATCTCTATGCTGTTCTGTTTTGACCAGTTTTGATGCACTGTCAAATGGTCATTCCTTGTAAATCTCATGCTAACTTGAGAAATAGATTTATTTTTTTCAGTTGTCTTGTAATCATTTTCAGTTATATCCATATTTTCTTATAATCTATTCAAATTTCTAAGCATTCATATTATTTAACTATCATATCTTTAAGCATAATGTAATTTCCCAGGTAGTCCCTTTTAAAATTATTTTTTGTTGATGTAAATAAGACCCCATCATGAGCCAACCCTGTTTTTTTATTCTCTTTTTTTGTATTAGATTCTGTTATACCCCATCACTTTTTTAGGATAGCCATTATCTCTTTATTTTTAAATTTTATCTTTGAATGCTTCTGCTCCCTAAATAAAAAAAAAATCCTTTTGATAAACAATTTTTAAAATCTTTTCATTTCCCGTGTCTAAAAATGTTATTTATTATTCTGGACCTGGAGTCCACCATCACTTTGTCAGGAAGCGAAGAGCATTGTGCACTATTAGTCCTTCTCTCTTAGGGAATCAAGAATCCCTTAGGAGTTGGTGATGAGGGTCCAAGGGGTTTGAGCTAAAAATTCTTTAATGCTACCTTAAATAAATAATGCTGGATTTTGTTACAAATACTTTTTCTCCCTGGAAAAACAAGCATGTGCATAATTGAAGCATAACAGACCTAATTAAAAGAGATAAGCAGGGAAACTACATTTTGTTAATACTTACCATACACAATGAAGTAATATCAATACTAAACATACATATAGTAAATGGAATAGCATCCAAATTCTTACAGGAAAAGTTAAATGAGTTACATGAGAAAATAGACAGTAAAGCTATACTAGTGGGGGACCTAAAGTTCCTCCTCTCTAAACTAGATTAATCTAATCATAAAATTAATAAGAAGTCAGTGAGATGAATAGAATTTTGGAAAAGTTATATGTGACAGACCTCTAGAGAAAACTGAATGGAAACAGAAAGAGTATACCATTTTTCTGGCTATAAATGACACCTTAAAAAATGAATATGTTTTAAGGCATAAAAACCTCACAACCAAATTCAGAAAAACAAATATTAAATGCATACTTTTCAGCACATAATGAAGTAACAACTATATTCAGTAAAGGGCCATGGAAACATAGATTCGAGGTTAATTGGAAACTAAATAATCTAATCTTAAAGAATGAATGGGCAAAAGAACAAATCACAGGAACAATTTCACTAAAGAGGATGACAGTAATGAGACAACATACCAAAATTTATGGGAGGCAGCCAAAACAGAACCTAGGGGAAATTTTATATCTCTAAATGCTTACATCCATAAAATATAGAAAGAACAGATCAATTAATTGGGCATGTGACTAAAAAGTCTAGAAAAAAGAATAAATTTATAACCCCAATTTAAACACTAAATTGGAAATGCTGAATTCAAAGGAGAGATTAATAAAATTGAAAATGATATAATAAATAAAACTAAGAGCTAATTTTATTAAAAAACCACAATATAATAGAAAAATCATTGGGTAATTTGCAAAAAAGAAACAAAACCAAATTACCAGTATCAAAAATGAAAAGGGTATCAAGTCTGTATGTAGTTATATGAAAAAGATGCTTTAAATCAATATTGATTAGAGAAACGCAAATTAAAACAACATTGAGATAACATCTCATACCTATCAGATTGGTTAAAATGATAGAAAGGGGAAATGACAAATGCTGAAGGGGATGTGGAAAAATTGGGACATTAATATACTGTTGGTGGAACTATGAATTGATCTAACCATTTTGGAGAGCAATCTAGAGTTATGCTTAAAGAGTTGTAAAACTATGTTTTTACTCAGCAATACAACTATTAGGCCTATTTTCCATGGTGATCAGGTAAAAAGGAAAAAAAAATATATTTTCAAAAATATTGATAGTGTCTCTTTTTGTGGTAGCAAAGAACAAGAAATTGAGGGGATACCCATCAACTGGGAAATGGCTAAACAAATTGCGGTATATGATTGTGGTAGAATACAACTGTGCTGTAAGAAATGAGAGGGTTGATTTTAGAAAAACCTGGAAAGATTTGCATGAATTAATGAAAAGTGAAGTGAGCAGAACCAGGAAAACATTGTACACAGTAACACCAAAACTGTAAAATGATCAACTGTGTATAACTTAGGTATTCTCAGTAATACAAAAATCCAAGACAATTTTGGGGGACTTATGATGAAAAATGCTATCTACTGTCAGAGAAGGAATTGATGGAGTCTAAATGCAGATCGAAGCATACTGGATTTTTAAAAACTTTTTTTTCTCATTTGTCTGTATTTTCTTTCACAACATGAATAATATAGAAATATGTTTTGTGACTGCATGTATATAAACTATATAAAACTACTTGCCTTCTCGAATGTAGTGTGGGGAGGAATGGAGAGAAGTTGGAACTCAGTTTTTAAAACAAATGTTAAAAATTGTTTTTACATGTAAAAAAACAAATGTAAAAAGTGCTAGCTATAGTAATGAAAGAAGAAGAAATTGAAAGTATTAGAATAGGTAATGAGAAAACAAACCTATCACTGCAGATGATATAACAGCGTATTTAGAGAATCCTAGAGAATCAACTAATTGGTTGGTTGGTTATTGTCCTTTGTTCTTAAAGAGGACCAAAATGACATCAGCTATGTTGGGGGTCAAGGTACAGTGTGTCCAACTGCTGATGATTTGACTAATATAAGCTTTGAAAAGTCTGCCACAGTTGGGCACAGATAGTCCATATGAACATTTGTAGTGGAGATGTCTCTAAATTTGTGCATCACCCATTTTTTTGAGCTACTGCAATTCTGTTTACAGAGCACAGCGCCTTCTCTGACATGGGCGCACCATGCTGGGTGGTCCTTTGACAGTGTCTTCCATGTCATACAACTGATTCTAGAGTTCTGTAGAGAGACCTTGAGAGTGTCCTTGTATGACTTCTTCTGACCTCCATGTCAGCGTCTGCTTTGTGTGAATTTTCCATAAAATAGTCTTATAGGCATGGTCTGGTATACTGTCCACGTTTCATATGCATACAACAGTGAGGTCAGCACAATGTCTCTGTAGACTTTCAGTTTGGTAGGCAGTCTAAAACCTCTTCTCTCCCACACTTTCCTTCAGAGCACCCCCCCCCAATAAAAACAACACTGAGCTAGCTCTGGCAATGCGTACATCAACCTCATCATCTATGTAGACATTCCTGGAAAGTATACTGCCAAGGTAAGTGAACCTATCCACAGTATTCAAAACTCCTCCATTTGCTGTAACTAATGGTTCCACAAATGGATAGTGTCATGCTGGCTGGTGGAGCACATGTGTTTTCTTGGTGTTAATTGTTAGGCCAAAATTAGCACAATCAGCAGAGAATCAATCCATATTTTGTTCCATCTCAGCTTCAGAGGTAGCATTGAGTGCACAATCATCTGCAAACAAAAAAATCATGCACCAACTCTCCCTGTACTTTAGTCTTAGCTTGTAGCCTTTTCAAGTTAAATAATTTACCATCCATGTGGTAGGTGACTTTGATGCCATTTTTGTCCTTGTCGAAGGCATCTGAAAACATCATGCTAAAAAGCATGAGAAGAAGCACACAGCCTTGCTTTACTCCATTGGTGTCTGGAAAAGCATGAGAGCATCATCCTTTATCCAGAACCCAAGCAAGCATGTTATCAGGGAACTGGCATAAAATACTTATGAACTTCTCTGGGCAAAAATTCTGACATAATTTTCCACAAGCCCTCATGACTGACAGTATCAAAGGCCTTGGTCAGATTGATGAACATTGTGTACAGGTTTCTCTTCTGCTCCTGGCATTTCTCCTGGAGTTGTCAGGCAGTAAACACCATACTGTCCATTCCTCAACCTTTTCTGAAGCCACACTGGCTGTCAGGTAGGTGATCATCTTCCAGGTGAAGGATCAGCCTATTAAGGAGGACTCTGGTGAGAATTTTGCCAACAATGACCAAGAGAGGGGATACCCCCCTCCCTGTGACTGTCACAAGACAATCTATTTCCTTTATAGAGATGGACAATGGAGGCATCCTTGAACTCCTGGGGGTTTAACTTCTTGCCATATAACCTGGAAAATTTCAGTCAGCTTTTCTATGTACCAGGTGCTTTGCCACACAAGAGAAGTGTAATGGCATTCAAAACCTCTTCTTCAGTTGCAGCTTTAGCTAAGGAGGGATTGACTTCAACCCAAGGTTAATGGTCAGTGGCTTCAGCACTGATTGATGACATTCTGTTGAGAACACCATGAAAGTATTCAGCTCATCTCTCCAGGATCATGTCCTTATCACTAATCAATGTGGCTCTGTCTGCACTGAGATGCACCATGGCTCTTTGGCCCATAAATAGTAAT